CAGCCATGAAATTAAAAGACGCTTACTCCTTGGAAGGAATGTTATGACCAACCTGGACAGCATATTAAAAAGCAGAGACATTACTTTGCCAACAAAGGTCCAACTAGTCAAAGCTATGGTTTTTCCAGTGGTCGTGTATGGATGTGAGAGTTTGATTATAAAGAAAGCTGAGTGCCAAAGAACTGATGCTTTTGAACTGTGGTATTGGAAAAGACTCCTGAGAGTCCCTTGGACTGCAAGGAGATCCAACCAGTCCATCCTAAAGGAGATCAATCCTGGGTGTTCATTGGAAGGCCTGATGATGAAGTTGAAACGCCCATACTTTGGCCACCTGATGCGAAGAGCTGACTCATTTGAAAAGATCCTGATGCTGGGAAAGATTGAAGGCAGGAAGAGAAGGGGACGACAGAGGATGAGATGGTTGGATGGCATCACTGACTCAATGGTCATGAGTTTGAGTAAACTCCAGGAGTTGGTAATAGACAGGGAGGCCTGGCATGCTGGGGTCCATGGGGTCACACATAGTCAGACACAACTGAGCGACTGAACTGAACTGATCTGAACTGAAGCGCAGACTTTGAGCTTTCGCTCAAGAAGAAATTGTTATCAATATAAGATCATCTCCGTGAGCCTTTCCAAAGGTTTACAGCCAAGACTCTCAACACTGGAGCATCTCTCTGAAGCCACCCATTGTGAGTTTGACAGCCTCAAAGAAATGTTTTCTTCCAACAGCCAGAGAGCTCAGAGGAGAATTCTCTTCTGCAGATGAGGACTCAGCCTCTGGCTGTTCCTCCAGTAGTTTTAGAGCAAGGTAAAGGCTCCCAAAAGCCAGGAGAGACAGGTGTTAACACCCGAGACGTCCTCTCCAGGGCTTGCGTTAATCGCTCAGTCGTGTCCCACTCTATGTGACCCATGGACTGTAGCCCACCAGCCTCCTCTGTCCATGGGGATTCTCCAGGCCAGAATGCTGGAGTGCATTGCCATGCCCTCCAACAGGAGATCCTCCCAATTCAGGGATGGAACCCAGGTCTCCCACGTGGCAGGCGGATTCTTTACTGAGCCACCAGGAAAGCCCAATCATGTATATATAGTCCCTTCTAGTTGCCAGCACGAAACTTGGCCCTTTGCAGATATAGTATTTTTAAAACTTATAGAATTATAGTTTTTGACTGTTCTGGTGTCTCCGTTACTGCTCTCGGGCTTTCTCTACTTGCAGCAAGGGGGGACCAGCCAGGAGAGGTGTGGGGTGCGATGTTTTTGGTACAGGAGCTCTAGGGCCCTCGGACTCAGCAGCTTTGATGCACAGACTTAGTCACCCTCTGGCACGCGGGCTCCCGCTGGCCCTGTGAAAAAGGTGTTTCAGTATGCTTGAGCTTACAAACTGAAAGGTACTTGACCCTGTAATTTGAAAAGTACAAGGAAAATTCTGGAATTCCATCCTCCATTACATTTTATAGTTATACATCTGTTAGAATAAAAAAAATGAAACAATCTGCACCCTACTTCATGAAGAGGATTAGCTACTGATTCAATCTCTTCCCTGGTGGTTCAGACGGTAAAGAATATGCCTGCCGTGTGGGAGACCCAGGTTTGATCCCTGGGTTGGGAAGATCCCCTGGAGAAGGGAATGGCAATCCACTCCAGTATTCTTGCCTGTGGAATCCCATGGCAGAGGAGCCTGGTGGGCTATAGTCCATGGGGTTGCAAAGAAGCAGACACATCTGGGGACTAACACATACAGATATAAATCTATAAAAGTTGGTCAAATTCACCTTGTTGATCGATGCAGTGCTTGCTGATAAGTGAAAGCAGGACCACTTTCATTTAACTTAGCTCTGCTCTATCAAAGGAAATAAATCTTAGACTTGACAAGGTGGTACACACATTCCTGAGACTATCAAACGTCTAGGTTTGGACGCTCAGAGGGTCCAGAAGGATACATGCTCAGTCTCGTGTCCTAAGCAATGAATGTCAAAAAAAGTGAGAAAATCCACAGAATAAACGTGCTCTGCCTTTCCAGAAGAACAAAATCTACATTCCTGTTGTTCAGTCACTAAGTCGTGTCTGACTCTTTGTGACACCATGGACTGCAGCACGCCAGGCTTCCCTGTCCTTCACTATCACCTGGAGCTTGGTCAAACTCATGTCCATGGAGTCAGTGATGCCATCCAACCATCTCATCCTCTGTCATCCCCTTCTCCTCTTGCCTTCAATCTTTCCCAGCATCAGGGTCTTTTCCAATGAGTCAGTTCTTCCCATCTGGTGATGCTTTTGAACTGTGAGTTGGACAAAACTCTTGAGAGTCCCTTGGACTGCAAGGAGATCCAACCAGTCCATCCTAAAGGAAATCAGTCCTGAATATTCAATGGAAGGACTGATGCTTAAGCTGAAGCCCCAATACTTTGGCCACCTGTTGTGAAAAGCTACATGCTGACAAACATACTATACTCTGGGAAATTCTGCCTGAGTTGTTAGTTATTAGAAAAGAAAGCTGTCACCAGCAGAAGTCCGCATGGGCTCAATGTCAGACTGAATGCTTCCCAAAGGGGTGCAAGGTTGATACATTGTGGCTATGCCTTTCACTCACAAGACAGAGGTAATGTCACACCATGGATGGTTGACAGTCTTGTCATGATATGTGAAACGTGATACAGAAGCCTCGGTGGGACGGGACCACAGACAGATGGGCTCAACTGTGTAATCCCAGGAATGTTGAAAGATTTATGAGGGGCTGAGAGAAGGGCACCTATCTGCCAGCAGGCTTGGTGTTGTCTCTTGCACAATGTTTATTAATGTCAATATAGACCGTGGTTTTATGAATATTGAACAGATCCTAAGCAGAAAGCAAAGAGGAACCAGAGCACCTCTTGATGAAAGTGAAACAGTAGAGTGAAAAGCTGCCTTAAAACTAAACATTTGAAAAATGAAGATTATGGCAACCGGTCCCATCACTTCGTGGCAAATAGATGGGGAAACAATGGAAACAGTGACAGACTTTTTCTTTCTGAGCTCCAAAATCACTGCAGATGGTGACCGCAGCCATGAAATTAAAGCTCCTTGGAAGAAAAGCTATGACCAACCTAGACAGCATAATAAAAAGCAGCGAGATTACTTTGCAGACAAAGGTCTATCTAGTCAAAGCTATGGTTTTCCCAGTAGTCATGAATGGATGTGAGAGCTGGACCATGAAGAAAGTTGAGTGCAAAGAACTGATGCTTTTGAACTGTGGTGTTGGTGAAGACTCTTGAGAGTCCCTTGGACTACAAGGAGATCAAACCAGTCCATCCTAAAGGAAATCAGTCCCGAATGTCTACTGGAAGGATTGATGCTGAAGCTGAAGCTCCAATACTTTGGCCACCTGATGCAAAGAACTGACTCATCTGAAAAGACCCTGATGCTGGGAAAGATTGAAGGCAGGAGGAGAAGGGGATGACAGAGGATGAGATGGTTGGATGGCCTCACTGAGTCAATAGACATGAGTTTGAGCACACTCCAGGAGTTGGTGATGGACAGGGAGGCCTGGTGTGCTGCAGTCCCCACAGGGTTGCAAAGAGTTGGATATGACTAAACAACTGAACTGACTGAAGCTGGAAGGGATGCCTTATGTGAAGATTAAAAAAAAAAAGCTCAGCAGCATGATGTTTAGTGAGGATGCAGGTAGAATTCCACCTGAGTTCAAGGAATGACAGTATAACCCCTCTGAGTGGCAGCTGGGTGATGATTACACAGTGAACGGAAAATGTGATAGACCACTGCTGCTGTGATTTATGAAGACAAGGATTTCAAGCTTCAGAGGACCGAATGGTCTGAATTTCAGCCCTAGCTAAGATCTAAGGTTTAGATTGAGATGCTATAGTCAACACCAGCTTTCAGGCTGGGGGTGACCAGTGGGAGGGTGAGGGGAACAGCACTGTGTTGTGAAAGTGAAAGGCGCTCAGTCGTGTCCGACTCTTTGTGATCCCACGGACTGTAGAGTCCACTGGATTCTCCAGGCCAGAATACTGTAGTGGGTAGCCTTTCCCTTCTCCAGGGCATCTTCCCAACCCAGGGATCGAACCCAGCTCTCCCCCATTGCACAATTCTTTAACAGCTGACCCACAAGGGAGGTCCTGTGTTGGGATAGGGCACGTCCAAAAACTGTAGGTGCATTAATATGGTCTTTCATCTTTTGGTTGATCATGTGCTCAGTCTTGTCCAACTCTTTGTGACCCCATGGATCCTCTGTCCGAGGGATTCTCCAGGCAAGAATACTGGAGCGGGTTGCCATGCCCTGCCTCCGGGGGATCTTCCCCACCTAGGGATGAAACCTAGTGTCCGCCGCCTCTCCTGCCTGTTGTCCGGGCACGGGTAAGGGCTGGGCCTCGAGCTGCCGCCCCAGCCGGACTCTGGCCCCACAGGGAGCGCCAGTCACCTCCGCACCCCCCAGGTCACCGCGAGCTCCGAGCTGCAGCCCTCCCCCCCCCACCCCCAGCGGCAGTTGTAACCTGCAGCTCCCTACTCCCCTCGGGCGGCGGGAAGTCCCAAGTGCACCTCCACCCCAGGCCCCCTCACCCCGGTGCGCCCACCTCTACCCGCCCCTCACACCCTCTGGGCACCTCACGGTAGCTCGATTGCTTCCCGCCCCTTTACCGGGAGCGGCCTGAGCCCCCAACCCCCCACGTGCAGGATCAGCACTTCCCCCATCGAGATCAGGGCGCGCCCTCCCTTTTCTGTGCGCGCAGAGCGAGTTCCCCGTTTCCAGCGCTCGTGGGGGCACCCCGGCACGAGCTCCCACTTCCTGCGCGCGTGGTGCCAGTCCTTCCCCCGGCGCAAGCCAGATCTTTCCTACAAATGTGACACGAGCCCCCACTTCTTGCGCGCACTCCCGGCACACGCGCCGTGAGCCCCCACTTCCTCTGCCTGCGGCGCGAGCTTTCCCTTCTTGCGGGTTCGGGGACCCTGCGACCCACGGCACGAGCCCCCCATTCCTGGATGCGTGGCGGGAGCCGACCCTTTTTGCCATGTGGGGTCCCCTGGCCTGTGCCGCGCGAGCCCCCGGGTTCCTGAGCACGCTGGGTCAGCCCTCCCCCCGGCACGCGCGCCGCGAGCCCCCCTTTCTGCCCACGCGGCGCGGGGCGAACACCCCCTTCTTAAGCACGCGGGTCCCCGCCACCCGCGGCGCGAGCCTCCCTTCTTTCGCACGTGGGGACCCCTGGCACGCGCGGCGCGAGCCCCCACTTTCTGTGCATGCGCCACAGCACGAGCCCCCGGGTTCCTGAGCGCGCGGGGTCAGCCCTCCCCCTGGCACGCGCGCCGCGAGCCCCCTTTTCTGCCCATGCGGCGCGGCGCGAGCACCCCCTTCTTAAGCACGCGGGTCCCCGCCACCCGCGGCGCGAGCCTCCCTTCTTTCGCACATGGGGACCCCTGGCACGCGCGGCGCGAGCCCCTGCTACCTGGGTACGTGGAAAGAGTCCCCACATTTTGCGCGCGCGAGACCGCGCGCGCAGCGCAGAGCGAGCCCCTCCTCCGGGGCACGCGGCGCGGCTCGAGTTCCCCTTCCGGTGCGCTGGAGGCCCCACTTCTTGCGTGCGCGGCAGAAGACCCCCACTTCCGGCGCACGCGGCGCGGCGCGAGGCCCCGGTTCCTGCGCCCGCGGGGTCATCCCTACCCCGGCACGCACGGCGCGAGCCCGTCCTTTCTGCCCACGCGGCGCGGCGCGAGCCCCCCCTTCTTAAGCGCGCGGGTTCCCGCCACCCGCGACGCGAGCCCCCCTTCCTTTGCACGCGGTGACCCCCGGCACGCGTGGCATGAGCCCCTGCTTCCTGGGTACGTGGAGAGAGCCCCCACTTCTTGCGCGCGCGGGACCCCTCGGGACTCGCGGAGCGAGCCCCACTTCCTGCGCACCCCGGGGTCGACCCTCCCCCGTCCGCGCGCGGCGCGAGACACCCCTCTGGCGCACGCTGCGCTGTGTGAGCCCCTGGGCCCAGCGCGCGCGGGGCCAGCCGACCCAGCGGCACGCGCGACCCCATTCCTGCCCACGCGGGGCAAGCATCCCCTTTCCTGCGCGCGCAGCGTGGCTTGAGCATCCTCGTTACTGCATGCGCGGGCCAGCCCTCTCCCCGGCACGCGCGGCGTGAGGCCCCCCTCTTCTGGCCCACGCGGCGCGGCGCGGCGCGAGCCCTCCCTTCTTGCGCGCCCGGGGTCTCCCGCCACCCACGGCGCGAGCCCCCCTTTCTGGGCGCCTGGTGCGACCCACCCCTTCTTGAGCGCGCGGGGATCCGCGGCACGCGCGGCGCGAGCCTCCACTTCCTGCCCGCGCGCTGTGGCGCGAGCCCTCCAGCTCCTGCGCGCGCGGGGTCAGCCCTCCCCCCGGGCACGCGCGACGCGACTCCCCTCCCCTTCTTGCCCACGCGGCGCGGCGCGAGCCACCCCCTTCTTGCGCGACCTGGGGTCCCCTTCCACCTGGGGCACGAGCCCCACTTTCTGCGCGCGCTGGGCCAGCCCTCCACACGGCGCGAGCCCCTCCTTTCGTGCACGCGCGGCGCGGCGCGGCGCGCACCGGGCCAGCCTTCCCATCGGCGAGCGCGGCGCGAGACACCCCCCCCCCACTCCTGCGCACGCGGCGCCGCGCCAGCCCTCATTTCCTGCGCGCGTGGTGCTGCACAAGCCCCCCCGGTTGCTGCGCGCGCGGCTCCAGCACCCCCTTTCCTGGGCACGCCGGCCAGCCATACCCCCGGCACGCGCGGCGCCAGCCCCTCTTCCTGCCCGCAAGGCGCAGCGCGAGACACCGCTTCCTGGGGGCGTGGCGCGAGCCGCTCCCTTCTTGCGCGGGCGGGGCCCCCCCAGGACTGGTGCCCTTCCCCGCACTGGCAGGGTTCCCCAGTTGAGGGCTGTGTTTCCTCAACTCCCAAGAAGGGGGTCCCCACCCACGGGCCGTGTGTCCTCAACCGCGTAAGGAGAGGTCCCCACTCGCCGGCCGCGGGCCTCAACGGGGCAGGCAGGGGTCCCGACCCGTGGTGCGCACGCCCAGGAAAACACAGAGACGGGTCCCAACTCGCGGGCCTGGCATCCTCACCGGGATACACAGGGGGCCGCACCCGCGTGCCGTGCGCCCTTAACTGCGCACGCAGTGTTCCCCACTACTGGACTGTTCGCCCTCAACCGCACACTGAGGGGTCTGCACCTGCGAGCCGACCACCCTTAACCGCGCACAGAGGCGTCCCCACGCTCGGGCAGCGCGCCCTTACGCACACGGAGGGCTTCTCAGCGGCGGGCCGTGGGCCTTCCACCGCTCACGCAGTGGTCCCCACTCGCAGGCCGCGCGCCCTCGAGCACACACAGAGGGCTCCCAATGCCCGGGCCACGCACCATCAACCGCGCTCAAATAGGTCCTCAAGGCTGTGCGCGCTTCCTCAACTGCACACCAAGGATGCCCCACCTGTGGGCTCTGCGCCCTCAACCGCGCACGGAGTGGTCCTCACCACAAGGCTGTGCGCCCTCCACGCCCAGGAAGGGCGTCCCCACTCGCCGGCCATGGGCCCTCAACTGCGCACGGAAGGGGTCCCCACTCGCGGGCAGCGCGCCCTCAACTGGGCACGGAGGTACCCGATCCCTGAAAAATGCAGGGATGGGTCCCTACTGGTCGGTCTGACGCCCTAACCCACACACGGAGGTCACCCTGCCCGTGGGTCGTGCACCCTCAACCGTGCACTGAGGGGTCCCCACCCCCACCCACGGGCCGTGAGTCCGCGACTGCGCACGCAGTGGTCCCCACCGCGCGCTGAGGGGTGTGCACCAGCGGGTCGTGCATCCTTAAACACGTACGGAGGGGTCCCCACTCGCAGGCAGCGGGCCCTCAACTGGGCACAGAGGGGTCCCGGCCCGCGGGTCGCACAAGGAGGGGGGTCCCCACGGCGGTACCCGCGTCCTGAAAACGCATAGATGGGTCCCCACTCGCGGGCAGCGAGCCCTCAACTGGTCACGGAGTGGCCCGCACGCCCTAGAAAACGCACAGATGGATCCCTACTTGCAGACTGGGTGGCCTCACCCGCACACGGAAGTGTCCCCACACGTGGGCCGCGCCCTCAACTCCCACTAAGGGGGTCCCTACTCATGAGCCACGCCACCTCAACCTCGTGAGGAAGCCCCATCCGCGGGCCCGGCGCCCTCAACCACCCACGGCAAGGTCCCCACCGAAGTATGGGGGCCCTGCAAAACGCACAGACGGGTTCCTACTCGCGGGCCAGGCGTCCTCACCCTCACACGGAGGGGTCCCCATCTACGACGGGCCGTGCACCCCCAACTCCCACGAAGGGGTCCCCACTGACGGGCCGCATGCCGTCAACCTCCCACAGAGGACCACCCGTGGGCCGCGGGCTGTCAACTGCGCACCTAGGAGCGCCCTGAAAAAACGCACAGACGCGTCCCTACTTGGGGGCCCAACATCTTCACCCACAAAGGGAGCCCTACTCGCGGGCCGCGCGCGCTCAACTGCGCGCGGAGGGGTCTCCACCCGTGCAGTACTCGCGGGCCCTGAACCACGCACGGAGGGGTCCCCGGCCGTACGCCCTCACTTCCCAAGAAGGGGGTCCCCCCACCCGCGGGCCGGGCGCCCTCACTCGCACACCGAAGGTTGCCTCCCTACCCCCACCCCCCCTGGCCGCGCGAGTCGCGCGATCACCCAGGCAGCCGAGCAGATCGCAAGCGGTGGCAGCGCGCACGATGCGCACGGAGGCGGGGCCGCGGGCCGAGGCCGGCGGGGAGACCGAGGCCGGCGGGGAGGCCGAGGCGACCCCGGGGCCCGCGGGCCGGCGCCCGGGCCGCAGCTGCAGGAGGTCGAGCGCCAGGCGGAGCGCGCCGCTGCCCAGGCACAGCGCGTGGAAGGCCCGCGGCTGGAAGCCCAGCGCGAGCTGAGTGGCGGCGTCCCGCGTGGGGCAGCAGAAGGTGCCGAGGCGCGGGGAGGCCATGCGTCGTGCTGGGGACGCACGCGGCTCGGGTCTGCCGGCCGGCCTGGGTCCTGTGCTGGGCGCGGGGGCCACGGGGAGGGGGCGTCATGTGCCCTTGGCCTCCCCGCGGCCCCCGCCCGATCCCCGCCCCGCGCTGGCAGAAAAGGCGCCAGGCTCGGTGCCCTCGGTGAGGGCAGCGCGGAAAGGCACGAGGCCTTACGAGGGTAATGCTTGGTAGCGAGGAGGAGGGGTGAGAAAGCTCAGGGTCGGGGAAGTAGGCTCTCTCGCCCGTCAGCAGGCCTTCCCGGGGTGGGGGGCGGGGGGGGGAGGACGGGGTTAATTCTCCAGAACCCGGAGCCCCCAACACTGCTGTCTCATCTTAACCCATCTCCCCCAGAAAGCACGCGCTCTTGCCAGGTCTGACCAGTCTGCGTCTCTGACATCCCTCATTTTAATCCGGTGCCAGTTCATAACCAGCGACTGTGCCGTGATTAGCATTAAAACACTGCTTTTCTACGGCCCCTCTCCGACAGGGAAATCAAATCTTTGAAGAAAGGGGAAACTCCTTTGCCAGAGTGCACACACCCACCCACCCACCCTTTTCATGCGCGCGCTGCGCGAGCACTCTCATTCCTCCGCGCGCTGGCCAGACCTTACCCCGGTGCTACTTTGCCACAGTGGACACACGGACACACCCACACCCACACCCTTTTCATGCGCGCGCTGAGCGAGCACTCTCGTTCCTCCGCGCGCTGGCCAGCCCTTACCCCCGTGGACGCGGTGCGAGCCCCCCGTTCCTGCCCACGCGGCGCGGCGCAAGAACCCCCCCCTTCCGCGCGCGGGGCCCTCCGCCACCGGCGGCGCTAGTCCCCCTTATTGCGCGCGCGAAGCCACCCCCGGCACGCGTGGCGAGAGCCCTCGCTTCCCGGGCGTGCGGCGCGGCGCCTTCCCCAAGGTTTCCGCGCACGCGGGGTCAGTCCTTCCCCGGGAGCGCAACGCGCTAGCCCCGCCCCTTCCTGCGCACCAGGCGCGACGCGAGCCACCACTCCTAGCGCGCGCGGAACCTCCCGTCACGAGCGGCGCAAGCCCCCTGTTCCTGAGCTCGCGGCGCAGCGTGAGCGCCTCGGTTCTTGCGCGCGCGCGGGGCCAGCCCTCGCCCGGGCGCGCGCGGCGCGAGCCCCTCCTTTCCTGCGCGCGCGGCGCGGCGCAAGACCCCGGCTCCTGCGCGAGCGTGGGGCCAGCCCTTCCCCGTGCGCGCGCGGCCGCCCCCTTGCTGCACACGCGGCGCGAGCATCCCCCTTTCCTGTGCGCGCAGCGCCACGCAAGCACCCTGGTTTTTGCGCTCGCGGGCCGGTCCTTTGCCCGGCACGCGCGGTGGGAGTCCCCACCTCAAGCCCCCGTGTTCCTGCGCGCGCGGGTTCAGCCCTCCCGGGCGCGCGGCGCTAGCCCCGCCCCTTCCTGCGCACGCGGCGCGAGCCCCCACTTCTCGCGCGCGCGGAGCCTCCCGTCACACGGGGCACAAATCCCCCCATTCCTGAGCGCGCGGGGCCAGCCCTGCCCCCGGCGCGCACGACTCAAAAATCCCTCCTTTCCTGCGCGCGCCGCGAGTCAACCCGCACCTTCCTGCGCGCGGGGCACGGCGCGAGCCCTCACTTTCTCTGCGCGCGCCGCGGCGTGAGTCCCCCCAGTTTCTGAGCGCGCCGGGTCAGCCCCCTACCCCCGGGGCGCGTGCCCCTCCCCCTTTCCTGCGCGCGTGGCGCGAGACCCCGGTTCCTGCGCTCGCGGGGCCAGCTCTCCCCCCGGCACGCGCGGCGCAAGACCCCCGTTCCCCGCGGAGCTAGCTCTTCCCCCGGCGCGCGCAGCCCGACGCTGCCACTTTCTGCGCACGCGGCGCGAGCCCCCAGTTCTTTCGCGCGCTGCGCGAGCCAAACCCCGTCTCACGCGCCCCGCCCCCTACCCCCGCTGCTCCCCTCCCGCTCCCTCGGCTCCCCGCCCCGTCCCCTCGGCTCCCCGCCCCCTACCCCCGCTGCTCCCCGCGCGCTCCCCTCGGCTCTCCGCCCCCTCCCCTCGGCTCCCCGCCCCCCTCCCCCTCGGCTCCCCGCCCCCTCCCCTCGGCTCCCCGCCCCCTCCCCCGCCAGTGCGCCCCCCTCAGCACGGCTCCCCGCCCCCTCCCCGCCGGTCCGCCCCCTCCCCGCCGGTCCGCCCCCTCCTGCCGGTCCGCCCCCCTCCCCACCAGTCCGCCCCCCTGGGCGCGGCTCCCCGCGCGCTCCCTCGGCTCTCCGCCCCCTCTCCTCGGCTCCCGCCCCCTCCCCTCGGCTCCCCGCCCCCTCCCCGCCAGTGCGGCCCCCTCGGCACGGCTCCCCGCCCCCTCTCCTCGGCTCCCCGCCCCCTCCCCGCCGGTCCGCCCCCTCCCCGCCGGTCCGCCCCCTCCCCGCCGGTCCGCCCCCCTCCCCACCAGTCCGCCCCCCTGGGCGCGGCTCCCCGCCTCCTCCCCTCGGCTCCCCGCCCCGTCACCGCGGGCCCCCGCCACTCCCCGCCGGTCCGCCCCACTCCCCACCAGTCCGCCCCCTGGGCGCGGCTCCCCGCGCGCTCCCCTCGGCTCTCCGCCCCCTCTCCTCGGCTCCCCGCCCCCTCCCCTCGGCTCCCCGCCCCTCCCCTCGGCTCCCCGCCCCCTCCCCGCCAGTGCGCCCCCCTCGGCACGGCTCCCCGCCCGCTCTCCTCGGCTCCCCGCCCCCTCCCCTCGGCTCCCTGCCCCCTCCCCGCCAGTGCGCCCCCCTCGGCACGGCTCCCCGCCCCCTCCCCGCCAGTGCGCCCCCCTCGGCACGGCTCCCCGCCCCCTCCCCTCGGCTCCCCGCCCCTCCCCGCCGGTCCGCCCCCTCCCCGCCGGTCCGCCCCCCTCGGCGCGGCTCCCCGCCTCCGCCGCGCTGCTCCCCGCCCCGTCCGCGCGGCTCCCCGCCCCTTCCCCGCCGGCCCGCCCCGCCCCCTCCCCGCGTTTCCCCTCCTCCTCCCCGCGGCTCCGCCCCTTCCCCGCGTCTCCCTGCCCCCTCCCCCCGGCTCCGCCCCTCCACGCCTCTCCCCGCGGCTCCGTCCCCTCCCTGCCGGCCCGCCCCCTCCCCGCGGGTCCCCGCCCCCTCCGGGGCCCGCCTTCCCCCGTGCGCAGCGCCTCGCGTCCTCCCGGCTCTCTCCCGCCCCGGGCCGGCACTTTCCTAGTAAGTTGCAGCGCAAGTTTGCCCGCGGCCGGCCACGGGGGCGCCGAGACTCTCCCTCGCTCTCGGCCGGCTGGGCTTCTCCGGAGCGTATGGGCGCGGGTCAGGCGGGCCCGGGGGCCTGAGCGGCCGCGCCGCCTCTGCGCCCTGCGCCATGGAGGGCGCCGAGCCCCGCGCGCGGCCGGAGCGCCTGGCGGAGGCCGAGGCTCGGGCGGCCGATGGCGGGCGCCTGGTGGAGGTGCAGTTGAGCGGCGGCGCGCCTTGGGGCTTCACCCTGAAGGGCGGCCGCGAGCACGGCGAGCCGCTGGTCATCACCAAGGTGAGGGGGGGCGCGGGACTTGCGCGGTGACAGCCGGGAGGTGGCCTCGGGGGGCGGGAGACTCGTCGAGGTCAGGAGCGCTGGTGGGGGGTGGGGGGGTGGTGTCGGTTCCGGGTGGCGCCCCGGGCCCGGGACGCTCGTTTACCTGGGTCTCCTGCGAGAACGTGGGGCGCTGGGACCCGCCTTAGGTGTGTGGTCCGGGCGCCACCTGGGCCTCCCTTCCTTGTTTCCCAGTCTTTTCGGCTCCTGGCGCCTCCGAGAGTTTCAAAGGCTCCCGTTTCGGATCTCTCCCCTCCCCCTCTTGGAAGGGGCCCGGCCGGGTCCCCTGTCACTCCCGGCCTTGCTAGTGCCGGTCTGCACCTGTGGGCCAGCCCAGAGGTCGGGAGGCGAACGTTCCCACGTGCGCCGGGTGGACAGAGCCGGCCCCTCCTCTGTTAGCCTGTCTGGATGTTTGTTTCTGCACCCCGCCTTGGACCCGCACCCCTTATCTCTAGGACGTGTGGGCGAGCAGCTGCCGTTAGGCCAGCTTCTCCATTCCCAAAAGCCCATCAATATTTACTGACGTTTGGCTTCCAGCCATAGATCCTCGGCGCCCTGGATACTTGGAAAAAAAAAAAAACCTGAAAGTTTTCAGAGTCCTTTATAAAAATGGGATTTGAGCCACCATAATAAGTTGCTACTGTGTGTGTCCATGGGGTCGCAAAGAGTCGGACACGACTGAGCGACTGAACTGAGTGTGTGTGTATGTGTAGGGTTTACTTTAAAACTTTGAATTTTCTTGCCTTTAAATAGAAAACCCATCTTGAGACTTAGCAACTGAGCTTGTATAAACCTGTAGAAACACACACAAACCAGTCGTTTTGTTTTCCACTGGTTAAAACTGTCTGTTGGTCAGTTTCTCTTGGAAGGTCTGGGCCGTCCCATTCCTGGGGACAAAGTTCTCTTTAAAATGCAAAAAAATTCTTGGCTTCCAGAAGGCTTTGAAGGTGACTTACTGTTGTTTTTTTTTTTTCTCTGCTTTCCTTCTTCACCGTGGCTGGAAGCACTGAAGTGACTTCTAACCTGTCCCACCGGATGGAATTTAGGAGGTGGTGTGACTTTGTTACGTAGATAACAAATGAGAGACCAAATAAATCTTTTGTTTTTTCTCATTTTTTGTGGTTATAAACTAGAGACTCTGAGGGAAAAGGGTGCACTGAATTTATGTTGAACTGGGGATGAGGCTGTCTTTGTCGTAGATTTCTCCCAGGTGCAACCTATTAATACATTGACTTTTTTTGAAAAGTGGGAGGCAGCCTAGTGGGCAAACCTTGTGCAGGTCTGGTGCTCCTTGCATATGCCTTTATAGCATTGTAGCTTGAGCCTTTTAAATAATGAGTTTTACCAGGCATTTTGGATGGTGAAGGTTAACAAGTTACCAGGTGAATCCTGGTGCATGCTGCCACACGCGCAAGTGTATTTCTGAACCACATGTTGTATTGCGTGGTATTGGAGGTGTCTCACCCCCTTGCGTTTTTTCCTGGATTAAATCATCTGTGATGGTTGCTTATGATCCAGCAGCTGGTTGTTAGCTAAAGTAATTAACTGTCACTTTACTAAGAAAGGACGGAGAAAAGTGTGCCCATTATGATCTCTTAAAAAATGAAAGTAGATTGTTGTGATGGAGACTGGGGAAACATGTTCAACCACCAGAATTTGGATTGATCCAAGCTTTGAATCTTTTCTTTCCCAGTAGCTACCGAAACATCTCCAGGGCTCATTAAATAATGGATCTTCTAATAGTTTCTTTTTTTTTTTGCATTTAAGAAACACTGAAATTACATTACATATTAGAGCGCTGGGGTATTTTACAGCTCATTTCTAACAGAATCTGACTTGGAAGAAGCCTCATCCCGTGTAAGAGGGTGCACTCTTTGGATAATGAAGTGTCTTGGTTGAAAGCCTCCTGGGAATGTAAAACTTCAAGCTGGAGGTGATACCAAGAACAAGGCCAGCTCAGTCCCTGATTTCCTCATGGAGTTTTATTAGCCCATTTTATAGATGGAACAGCTAAGTCCTAGAAGGTTAAAAGGTGAGCTCTGAGGTCACCTCTCAAGAAGGGCCCTGAGGGTCAGATCTTGACTTTGCGTATCTCTGCTGCTTCTCCAGTTGGAGGAGACGTGGATTCGATCCCTGGGCGGGGAAGATCTCCCCTGGAGAAGGACATGGCAACCCACTCCAGGATTCTTGCCTGGAGAATTCCACGGACAGAGGAGTCCACAGGGTCGCAAAGAGTCGGACACGAATGAGAGATGAAATTAACACCACCACGGCCACGAGGGCTTTTCGGCCTTGGCACTTCCGATGTTCTGGGCTGGGTCCCTTTTTTGCTGAGTGGGGTGGGGTGGGGGGGTCCTTTCCTGTGTATTGTAGGGTGTCTAGCATCAACTCTGACCTGTACCCACGGGCAGTGTAACCCCTTCCCACACGTGTGACAGCTGGAAGTGTCTTGCATTGCCATGTGCCCCTGGCACAAAATCACCCTCGCTAGATGAACTGTATGCCACTTTTGCTTTGAAAGGATTTTAGCTTGGAAAGCTGTGCTTGATTCTTCTTTTGGAAGGTGCTCGGGAGGCCCCTGGCCTGGCCAGCCTGGGTGGGGAAGGCTGTTTTCTTCCTCAGGGCTGGCCCTGATAATAGGCTTTATTTACATAGTAAAACTCAAACAAATACTTGCTTCATCTGCATTTTTTGTAGCTGGAAAAAAGGAAATGGGAGCAGGAACTCCCGAGAGCTGGGTTTTATGGGCCCTTGGTGGGGAACTGCCTTTTCTCTGGGTTGGAGTCGAGGTTAAAAGGACCCTGACTCCCCTGGAGTGGCATGGTTGGAATCTCAAGTGCGCGCATGGTGAGTGAAGTGCAAGTCGCTCGGTCATGTCTGACTCTTTGTGACCCCCCCTCCCGGACTAAACAGTCTATGGAATTCTCCAGGACAGAATACTGGGGTGGGTTAGCTGTTCCCTTCTCCAGGGGAATCTTGCCAACCCAGGGATCAAACCCAGGTCTCCCGCATTGCAGGCGATTCTTCGCCTGCTGAGCCACGTGGAGTCAGTCCCCCAGAGAGGCGGCCAACAAGATTTGTAACCGTTCAACGCCTCGACACTGACTTGTAAGCTTGAGGTTTACCAGGGCCGGATAAAAAACACAAAAGGCTGCTTTTGGTTTTTTTTTCCTCCCGTGCAGCAGAAATAACATCTGTGCCCTAAGGAACTCCAGAGACCTTGACGTGTCCGCCTCTCAGAGGCTCTGCTTTGATGAGGGCCCTCTCAGGAGCGTTGTCAGTAGGTTGAGCGCGGCAGCTGGTGGGAGTTCCTCTCTCCATCAGCTTAGCAAGTGGAAGACTTGGGTGGGATGGCGGGGGGGGGGGGGGGGGGGCGGTGCACAGGTTGCGGAGGGCCTGACTTCTGAAATGTCAGCGGGGGGCCTCAGATTCCAGAAGGGCCCCCTGGGGGGATTCACTGGAAAGCGCAAAGCGCGCCAGCTGGGTGTCAGCGGGCCCCCTGCGGCGTCAGGAGTGTTTGTTAACCCTGGGAAGGAATGAAGCCTTGCTTCTCCTTTTCATCACGTCTTAGATTCCCCTCCTTCCCCTTTCCCTCCTTCCCCTTTCCCCTGCAGCCGAGAACGCTGGAGGCTCTCTGTGAGCGCCCCCAGAAGAAAGACAGTCACCCGGGCTTTCCCCGGTCCCAGGGGCAGCTTCTTTGGGACCTTGATGAGTTTCAGATAGCCTCTTGGGGACCTCCTGGGTATGCGCGGGGGCAGGGAGCTGGCCCGTGCGACCCCTCTCCTGGGTCTCCAGACCCATAAACCCCTTGAGGCTACTGTCCCTAAATGTCCTTCCTGGTTTGCAGGCCGAACGTAGGCTGGGTGGGGTGTGGGGGCAGTCAGGACACACACTGGGGGTGCAGGGTGGGTGCGATTGGTCCACACACCCAGGTGAGTGATGTCCCAGTTCAGAGCTCTACCTGACAGTGAAGGTTCAGAGCCATTGGCGTGGCGCCTTGTGGTCTGCAAAGGTCTGCTTTTTTTATGGGTTGTGCTGAGTCATGCCGATCGGTGACCCGGTAACCCCTGATCAGGACAAGCTGTTGTCACTGATGTCCCTATATTTGCCCCCACCCCCCCCGCCGCCAAGAGCCAAGCTCTTTGTCAATAATCATTAGAGGTTTTGAAAACGGAATCTGTAGATGTGAGCTATGAATTTTTTATTCACTTTAAAAAATTTATTTTAATTGGAGGCTAACTACCATATTGTGGTGTTTTTTGAAACATGTATATTAGCATATGTGAAATAGATGACCAGTCCCAGTTCGATGCGTGAAGTAAGGCATGCAAAGCCAGTGCTCTGGGACAACCCAGAGGGATGGGAAGGGGAGGGAGGCGGAAGGGGGCGTTCGGGATGGGGGACACATGTACACCCGTGGCTGATTCATTCATGCCATTGGGCTGTGAATTTTTGTTTAGTCACAAGTCCTGTCTGTTTGCAACCCCACATACGGTAGGCTGCCAGGCTCCTCTGTCCGTGGGATTCTTCAGGCAAGAATCCTGGAATGGGTTTCCATTTCCTCCTCCGGGGGATCTTCCCAAGCCTTGGGATCGAACGTGCAGCTTCTGCATTGGCAGGTGAGAAATTCTTTACCGCTGAGCCCACCTGGGAAGCCCCGAGCTATGGATTGGGAGCTGATTTATCTCAGCCTCTCTGCGTTTTGCTTGATGTCTGTGTTGACGCAGAATCCCACAGCCGCTTTCCCCGGGGTCCATAGACAGAAAAGGTGGGTGGATGAGGGCTGGACGCCCCCGCCTTAGCTAGCTCAGGTACTGTGGTGGACAAGGCAACTCCTGGGCGCAGTGAGGTCCTGGCCACTTTGAGGCCAGCTGCAGTTTGCAGTTTGTTCGGGGGAAGAGTAGAGTTCCAAAGACATGTTGGTATTTAAAAGTTCACAGTGCGGTTTAAAAAAAAAGGGGTGGGGGGTGAGTTGTTTTTTTTCCCCCCCGTGCTGAAATAGCTTTGCAGTTGGTAGACCTGCCTGACAACTGGCCTTCAGGTGTATCTTTCTGCCCCTGTGCCAGCCTCTGCCTCTCTGGGTCCTTCGAGTTCTCACCTCTGGTCCTCGGGACGTGTTTTCCATGCAGGGATGGGAAGTTGGGCAAAAAACCTCCAGTCCCATTGCCAGTTCTGGTGCTGGAGCTTTGAGGTGCAGAAGGTGGAGGCGGGTGGTGGGGGGTGTTCTTCCTTTCCTAGAAATTAGCTCAGCTTGTTATGTGTTAGTCAGTCAGTCGTGTCCAGCTCTTTACGGCCCCATGCAGTGTAGCCCGCCAGGCTCCTCTGTTCGTGGGATTCTCCAGGCAAGAATACTGGGGTGGGTTGCCCATTTGCATTGCCAGGGGATCTTCCCAAGCCAAGGATTGAACCTGCATCTCTTAAGTCTCCTGCATTGGTGGCTGGGTCCTTTAACACACTAGTGCCACCTCGGAATTCCCAACTTATCATGACTCACCCATAAACCCAGAGGCTTCTAAGCGTGAAAAGCTGTAAACTTGAGGTTTGCATCACACTTCCCCACCAGGAAGGATTTTGCCCTTCCTGGTCCAGTTACAGGTAGTTTGGAACATGTCCTGACATTCATCTTTGGAAAAAAGAAAACGACTTTGCCCAAGAGCTAAATGTAGAAAAGGGAAAAAGAATGAAAGACTCATAAAAAAATTAGTGGTTCTCACCTTGTCCTAACGAGCTGGGATTTCTGCAGTCACCTTTCTGTTTCATGGCGGAAGAAACCAGGCGCCCATCTTGGAGACGGCTGGTTTTTCTATTTGGTGAAAGCATTTTGGAGCGGTCCTCTTGCCAAAGTTGTTTTGTGTCAGCGTGCAAATAAACCCGGGTCTGTGGATTTCTTTGGCGCCCTGGGGAGTCTTTGCTCCTTGTACACTGGGCGCAGTGTAAACAGCCAGCGAGATTATTTCAGGATTTAAAGGCTGAACAGACTTTTTATTCAGTCTCATTACCTCTTTTACTTTTCACACACCGCAATCAGGCCATCCTTTGAGGAGAAATTTCTGCAGGCCGAGCTCTCCCAGGCTGAACCTTCCACCCACATGGACTTTGAAAGCGCTCAGGGTTGCATGGTTCTTTTTTGGGCTTTTTTTTAAAAAAAAAAAAACTTGCCAGTGTCCCAGAGAGGGAGGGTGTAACTTGTGGAACAATTGTTTTCCTGTTACCTGGCTGGATCGGATATCTGCATGTCTCTGGGATACACGGAGCCTCTTGCGTTGACCAGAGGGGATGTTAAGGCTCCTCTTTGGGGTAACTTGTCTAAGTTACAAGCACAGTAGGTTATCACTGAAAAAATAATTGGACTCACCTGATGAGGGTGAAAGAGGAGAGGCAGAAAGCTGGCTTAACACTCAACATTCAAAAAAACTAAGATCATGGCATCCGGTTCCATCATTTCACGGCAAATAGATGGGGGGAAAAGTGGAAACACTGGCAGATTTTATTTTCTTGGGCTCCCAAATGACTGTGGGCAGTGACTGCAGCCATGAAGTTAAAAGACGCTTACTCCTTGGAAGGAAAGCTATGACAAACCTAGATAGTGTATTAAAAAGCAGAAGGGTGGTCCAGTGGCTAAGACTCCCATTTCAGGGGGCCTGGGTTTGATCTCTGGTCAGGGAACTGGGTCCTACATGCCATGACTAAGACCTGGCACTGCCAAATAAATAAATCTCATTAAAAAAAAGAAAAAAAACAGACATGTCACTTTGCCAACAAAGGTCCTTATAGTCAAAGCTATGGTTTTTCCAGTAGTCATGTAATGGATATAAGAGTTGGACCATAAGGAAGACTTGATCGCTAAAGAATTGATGCTTTTGAGCTGTAGTGTTGGAGAAGACTCTTTGAGAGTCCCTGGGACAGCAAGGAGATCCAATCAGTCCATCCTAAAGAAAATCAACCCTGAATATTCATTGGAAGGACTGATGTTGAAGCTGAAGCTCCAATCTTTTGGCCACCTGATGTGAAGAGGTGACTCATTGGAAAAGACCCTGATGCTGGGAAAGGTTGAAGGCAGGAGGAGAAGGGGGCAACAGAGGATGAGACAGTTAGATAGCATCATCGACACAATGGACATGAGTTTGAGCAAGCTCTGAGAGCTGGTGAAGGACAGGGAAGCCTGATGTGCTGCAGTCCAAGGGGTCACAAAGAGTTGGACACGACTTACTGAACACAACTTTATTTCAGGTTTGAACAAATCAGACTGTTCTGAAAAGCCAGGATGTTCTGAATTGCACAGTCACATTTTTTAAAAAATCTTGGCTTTTTTTTTTCTTTTCTTTTTTTTTAATCTCCTGGCTGCAAAGTTGGAGGCAGTATCTACCGCCTTGGTTGGATGAATTGGAAAGAGTTGAGGTAGCTTCTAAGGTGACCAAGACTTTCAGATCAAAGGCGAATTGTGAAGGTCAGGGAGAAGCCAGGCAGAGTAGATTACAGTGAGGGCTCTAAAGGCAACATTTTTACTTCTTCAAGGGAAGAAAGGGATGCAGTTGTTAGTGTATCTTTCTCAGTTTTGTTTTTATTTTTTATCAAAGTCACTCTTGCACAGTTTAAATAATCAAAAAGTTCTTTGGGGCTTGTTGTTAAACCCAGCATGCTGCTCCCCACTTGCCGTTTCCTCTCCCCCTAGAGAAGCTGTTGAAACTTTTCAGCTGATTTCTTTGGGCATTTGCTTACATTCTATCTTGGCTGCTGCTTCTGTTTGTTCCGTTTCTGGGTGACTGTCGACTTCCCACTTGCGATGTGGTCTCTTTTCCACGCACCTCCTTCCCACCAACTACCCAGACACATATCTTGGGGCCCCTGACTTTCCAGTGTAACTACTATCATAATTTTGGTCAGAAGAGGGATTTTTTTCAGCCTTAGCGCTGTTGATCTTTGGGGCCAGATAATTCTTTGTGGTGGGCACAGCCCTGTGCAGTGTGGGCCAGTGAACAACACCTCCAACATCACGCACGAGATGCCTGCACAGACGTCTCCATCTCCTGTAGTCGAGATGATCAAAAAAACCTTACCGGGTGTCCCCTGCTGGGGGGACAAAAATCTCCCAGTTTGAGAATCACTGGGTTAGCAGTTTTCAGTGGGTATGGTTTTTTGAATGCCCATGCCAATGCGGCTGAACCTGGTGGTGGAAACTCTGAAAATTTTTTTTTTGCCCCGCAGAAGGTTTTCATTATCACCGAGGTTAATGATAGGCTTTGTTTCTTTGCCTAATTTCCTGTGTGCTTTATCATTAATTTATCCTCCGCATCTTCCTGAGTTGTGAAAAAATGTTTTCTATATTCAGACACACAGGGGTGGGGGAACGTTTTTCGAGACCTTCTTTGTTTGAAAACGTCATTAACGTACCGTGACATTAACTGGATTATTCGATGCAGAGACCTCAGTTGGAGACGGTTTTTCCTCTGCACTTTCTTTGCAGCTGGTGTTCTCATCTCTGCTGGTGTGCAGTATTGTTGGGAAGACAGCAGGCCTTTCTGTCTCTTCATCCTTTGGGCTGGCTCTGATTTTTTTGGTCTTATTTTTTTCTTCTCTGGACTTTGCTTCGTCTGGGGAGATGGCATGCGACGTGGTCTTCCAAACCATTGAGTTTTTTTAGTGTACATTTTTCCTTTTTAAAAAATTCCATTTATTTTTGGCTGTGCTGGGTCTTCGATGCAGCTCGGGCTTATCTCTAGTTGCGATGCACCGGCTTCTCGTTGCAGCGGTTTCTTTTGTTGCTGAGCACAGGCTCAGTAGTTCTGTTTCACGGGCTTTGTTGCTCAGCCGTGTGGCATCTTCCCAGATTAGGGGTTGAACTCCTGTATCGCAAGGCAGATCCTTTACCACTGAGCCACCAGGGAAGCCCCGCGATTATATTTTAAATGTGTGCTTTCAGTTTTTTTCCCAAGTTCCAAAGTGGTGTTTTTTTTTTTTTTCTCTCCTCTCTTACTGTTCTTTTTAAGGGACTTCCCTGTAGCTCTCAGATGGTAAAGAATCTGCCTGCAATGCAGGAGACCCGGGTTCGGTCCCTGGATCAGGAAGACCCCCTGGAGAAGGAAATGGCAACCCACTCCAGTGTTCTTGCCTGGAGAACCCCATGGACGGAGGAGCTTGGTGGGCTGCAGTCCGTGGAGTTACAAAGAGTCAGACACGACTGAGCGACTGAGAAAATGGTTTATTTTTGGTCCTTCCAGTCCTCATTGCCCTGCAGGCTTTTCTTAGCTGCGCAGAGCAGCTTACTCCCTAGTCACGATGCATGGGCTTTGCACTGTGGTGGTTTCTCTTGTGGAGCACGGGGCTCTGGGTGTGTGGGCTTAGTCGTTACAGCCCCCAGGCTCGAGCGCACCTGCTTAGTACTTGCGGTGCTTGGGCTTAGTTGCTCCGCAGCCTGTGGGTTCTGACCGGCCCAGGGATTGAGCCGCGGCTCCTGCGTTGGCAGGCGGAGTCTTTACCACTGAGCTGCCAGGGGAAGCCCTGTGTTATTGCTCTTGAATGTTCCTTTCGGACACCATGCTGATCCTGTTTCATGGTTCTTCTTTCACATCTGTGAGTGTATTCAGCTGGTTTTTAAAAATGTCTTCTGTGTAGATTCCATTTCTGAGGTCTGCTGCTGTGTGTGTGGCTTCTGTCTGCCCTGTGGGAGGCTCAGTCTGAATGTCTAGTGGACGGACCTTGCTGTCTGCCAGCGTATAGGAGTGGGTGACCACCTGGTTCAGGGTGAGTCACCCGCCTGGGTGAGTGATCTAGCCAGGCTGCTTCCCGGGGCTCTCCTTTAAGGACACCGCTTTGATTGTTTCTTTGGGCCAGGCACATCCCTGTCAGATGCTATTTTCCTCCAGTGAGAACAGCTTTCTGGCGTAGGGCAGGTTCGAAAGTCGGTCTGAGGTTTGCCAGTTTAGAGGAACCCTGCCCTGCCTGCTGAGGTCAGAGTGGTCTTTGCTGGCCTGGCCTGGCCACGGTGGTTCCAGTTGGGAGGGAACGTCTCACAGGCATAGCTAGATCTTACTGTCCATCCTGAACCTTTGCTGATCCTTAATTGTTCTGGCCATCAAACTAGAATCACTCCCACTTAAGTATATTATTAACATGGGGATGAAATGAGGCAGAAAGGAAAGCTAGTTGTGGTAGATTTAAACTCCATCTCTCCTCCCTCTTCCCTTCTCTCTACCTCTTTCTGCTTTATTAAGAATTCGGAAAACTGTGGGACGGACATGGACACACTGCTGTATTTAACATGAATAATCAAGAAGGACCAGCTGGACAGCACAGAGAACTCTGCTCAATACTCTAACAACTTTCTGGTTCCCACGGGGGAAGGATGGGGGAAGGGACAGTCAGGGAGTCTGGGATGGACGTGGACACACGGCTGTAGTTAACATGGAGAACCAGCAAGGACCTGCTGGCCAGCACAGGGAACTCTGCTCAGTATTATGTGGAAGCCTGGATGGGAGGGGGATTTGGGGGAGAATGGATACATGTGTATGTATGGCTGAGTCCCTTTGCTGTTCACCAGAAACCATCACAGCATTGTTTGTTAATTAGCTATACTTCAATACGAAATAAAACATTAAAAAAAAATTTGGAAAGTTATGAAAGTAGTGTTAATGTATTGGACTGATAATTTACCATGGAAAGACTTTAGCCTGGATTTTGTGTGGCAGCATTTTAATAGGTCTCCTAGAGATTTTGTTACTGATTTTGACCCTTTAGTGTTGGATTTGTAGAAAAGCATTTAATTCAGAAACTCATCTAATGCCCAGCACCAGTAAATAGCACCAGTGCTATTCACAGCTCTTCTCCACCAAAACATGTTCTGAAAAATACAGATTTTTTTTCTTTCTATAATATTCTTGAAAGGTAGCTCTTTCAGACCGATGTGATATTCAATAACAGTGGGATTTTTATTTATTTTTTAAAATTTATTTTAATTGTTGGCTGATTACTTTACAATATTGTGGTGGTTTTTGCCATACGTTCACAGGAATTGGCCATGGGTGTGCATGTGTTTCCCATCCAGAACCTCCCTCCCACAACAATGGGACTGTTAAAAAGTGGTTTGGGAAGTGAAAATAGTGGGAAAGATGCAGGTTAACTGTCCCCATGACAACAAACTGCATTTCTTCACTTGCTTGACTTTCTAGTAGTAGAAGATCTTTGAGGGCATGGAGTTGGACCTACGAGTCTGGTAGAGATGCTCTCTGCTCCTTGGAGACAGTCTCCTCTTGTGGATGCACTGCTGGACTACACTTCCCAGCGTCCCTTGGGGGGGGCTATTGAACTACACTTCCCAGCGTCCCTAGGGGGCTGTGACCTGGAGGCAGTCCCCTCTTCCCTCTGGATGCACTGCTGGACTACACTTCCCAGCGTCCCTTGGGGGCTATTGGACTACACTTCCGAGCATCCCTTGGGGCTATGACCAGGAAACAGTCTTCTCTTCCCTCTGGATGCACTGCTGGACTACACTTCCCAGCGTCCCTTGGGGGCTATTGAACTACACTTCCCAGCATCCCTAGGGGGCTGTGACCTGGAGACAGTCCCCTCTTCCCTCTGGATGCACTACTGGAGTACACTTCCCAGCGTCTCTTGGAGGCTATTGGACTACACTTCCCAGCATCCCTTGGGGCTATGACCTGGAGACAGTCTCCTCTTAACTCTGGATGCACTGCTGGACTACATTTCCCAGCGTCCCTTGGGGGCTATGAGGCCATGTGACAATTCTACCCAATCAGATGCAAGTATAAGTGATGCAGGCGGGCCTGTTTGCAACCTATACTGTTTTCTCCTCTCCTGGTTGTCTGGGGTGCACGTGATTGTGGAGCAGCGCCTCATGCACACAGGTCACTGAATGCCTGGGAAGGAAGCTGGCTGTCCACAGCGCCCCTTGCCCTCCCAGTAGTACTAGGACGTGAGTGAGAAATAAGCGTGTGTTGTGTTTGGACCGTTGCATGTTTCTTCAGTTACTTGCTGTTAAGAGTTAGACCGTTCCAACAAAGGAAACATGGGGAGACATGAGAAGTTTTCCTTTTGTTTTGACTTTTTACTGGCGTGCAGTTGGTTTACGACATTGTATTGGTTTGAATCAGTTGTGCGTATACATACATCCACTCTTTTTGAGATTCGTTTCCAAATAGACCATCACAGAGCATTGAATAGTACCTGTGCTATATAGGAGGTTCTTATTAGTTACCTGGTTTATATGTATTAATAAGTGTGTGTGTGTGTGAATCCCAATCTCCTAATTTATCCTGGCCCCCCCACCCCCACCCCCAACCTCCTGGTAACCATAAGTTTGTTTCCAAAAGTTTTCCTTTTTTGTTTTAAATTTTTATTTTTTTTATTTGGCTGTTAGTTAGTTAGTTGGGTCTTTGTTGCAACGTGTGGAATCTAGTTACCTGACCAGGGATGGAACCTGGGTCCCCTCCATTGGGAGCTCAGAGTCTTCACCAGTGGACCATCAGGGAAGTCCCTAGGTCCTGTGTATTTTTAACGAATACACCTAGCCTTAAGAAAGTGAATAAATAATGCCTAATTTGGTGGTGGTGGTGGTGGTTTAGTCGCCAAGTCATGTCCGACTCTTGGGACCCCGTGGACTGTAGCCTGCTACACACCTCTGTCCATGGGATTCTCCAGGAGAGGATACTGGAGTGGCTTGCCATTTCCTTCTCCAGATGCATAACTTACACCCTTGTAAAAGGGAACGACTACTTACCTTGTCCCAGGGGTCACTGCGGGTGTCCAGTCAGCACGTACCTTATTCCCTGCACATTTATGAATGTAAAAATGAGACCTGCATGCTCAAAGATTCAGCTTCTTTCCACCTTAGCTTTTCCCTCCACCAGTAATTTAATTTTCACCGGGTTGCTTTGCCTCCCCCTTCTTGCACACGGTCGCTTGGGAGCTGTTCGTGGTGGTGGTGGTGGGTCAGAGCAGAGAGAGTCCCCAGTCCAGCTACTTAGCTCTCAGGGAGGGCGGGCCAGAGGAGAGGAGGGTGGCTGCCATGATGTCAGGGAGCACACCTCCTCCCTGGCTGAGTTGTCCTTTACTTAACTGCTTTGGTTCAAGTGCAGGTGGCACGTGTGGCCATTGCAGGAGATGTAAGAGATGTGGGTTTGGTCCCTGAGCCAGGAAGATCCCCTGGGGGAGGGCATGGCAACCCACTCCAGTATCCTTGCCTGGAGAATCCCCATGGACAGAGGAGCCTGGTGGGCCAGAGTCCGTGGCTTTGCAAAGATTCAGATACGACTGAACGGCTAACACAGACACAGACACACACACCAATCCCGTGGACAGAAGAGCCTGGCAGGCTACAGTCCATGGGTTTGCAAAGGTTCAGATACGACTGAGTGACCACACACACACACACAATCCCCGTTGCATCCTGATAGCCTCAGAGCGATACGTGTCCACTGGTCCTGGTTAGGCCTTCCCTGGTGGCTCAGATGGTAAAGAATCCACCTGCAATGCAAGATACCCGGGTTCAGTCCCTGGGTCGGGAAGATCTCCTGGAGAAGGGCATGGCAGCCCACTCTGGTATCCTTGCCTGGAGAATCCCCATGGACAGAGCAGCCTGGTGGGCTACAGTCCATACCATCACAAAGAGTCGGACACGACCGAAGCAAGGTAGCGGGCACGTAGGTTCAAGGGCAGACGGTGTTGCCTGGGGAGGGCTGTGCACTCAGTCCTCATTAACCAGGCTGCCTCTATCAGATTAATTAATTATGATCTCGTCGGGCAGCTTCTTCTTTTCTCCAGGGGATGGAATGTAGATGCCAGGTAGACCGTCAAGGAAAGGGAGACAATGACCAGTGCAGAGTAAAGCGGGTGCCTGGAGGAAGGTGGCATTGGGGTGGGCACCTGAGGGTTAGGGGCAGCGGGTGATGAGGGGAGTGGGCAAGGGAGAGTCTCTTCTGTTGACATGCTTAAGGGAAGCCTGGGAAGGTCGGGGGGGAAGCTGGAGGAAGGTGGACACGTGAATATGTCATTGAACCCCTGCAGGTTAGAAGGATGGGAGGAAGAGGGGATTCACATAAGAAAGGGCCAAGGAGAAGATGGTAAATGTGTTAAAAAGTCATAACCCTGAGAGAGGATCTAGGCTGAACAGAACCTTAGGGTCCAGTTTGAAAACTCAAGGGTGATGGACTCGGGATGAGTTAGTAACGAGCACCAAGGTGTTTGGGAGTGTGGTCAGTGTATCGTTGCTAATGAAGAGGATCGCAGCTGAGGGGCCTCGGGGTCCTAGGCTTTCAGAGGAGGTGAAGGGGTTCTTTGCCTGTGGCTTGGAAATGGTGAGGCTGACGAGAGAATGCTGCCGGGGCGACTCTGCTTCTGTCTGTGTGAACTGTGCCACATTTGTAAACGTGTACACATAGTGGGCAGCATCACCGAGTCGATGGACGTGAGTTTTAGCAAGCGCCGGGAGCTGGTGATAGACAGGGAGGCCTGGCATGCTGCCGTCCACAGGGTCGCAGAGAGTCGGACACAACTGAGGCTGAACTGAACTAAAGCATGGTGATATTTATCTGTGCTAATTGCCCATGTGCTTGTCAATTACCAGCTTGGCGAAACTTTTTTTCCTTGTTGCAAAAACAGTAAAACCACCTTGAAAAAAACTGAATGTAAAGGAAAAGATTGGCAGCAGCCCAGAGCATGTAATAATGTTGTTTTTGGTTGGAGAGCTATATTGAATTTCCCTTAACCCCCGCAGTCTGGAATTCTTTGCTTTGTACCACTGTAGAGCTAATTATGTTTTTTGAAGGTAATTCTCTTCAGAGTTACATTGACTCAGTGCTGTCTAGAGACCTAAATGGGAAGGAAGCCTGAAAAAGAGTGGATATACGTATAACTGATTTCCTTTGCCATACAACAGAAAGTAGCACAACATTATGAAGCAACTATGAAGAGACATGAAAGTTGCTCATTCGTGTCTGACTCTTTGTGACCCCCCCTGGACTGTAGCCCACCAGGCTTCTCTGTCCATGGGATTCTCCAGGCAAGAATACTGGAGTGGGTTGCCATTTCCTTCTCCAGGGGCTCTTCCCAAGCCAGGGATCAAACCCAGGTCTCCCGCATTGCAGGAAGATTCTTTACATCTGAGCCACCGGGGACATTTAAAAAAAAAAAAAAAGGGGGAGTTCCCTGGTGGTCCAGTGGCTAAGACTCCTTCCTCCCAATGCAGGGGGCCCAGGTTCAATCCTTGATCAGGGAGCTGGATCCCACATGGTGAAACTAAAAGATCCCACATGCTAAAAGGAAGACCTGGTGTAGCCAAAATAAGTATTTTAGAAAAGAGTT